GGTTCCGAGTGAAGGTTCCGAAGGTTCCAAGTGAGGGTTCCGAGGTTCCAAGTAAAGGTTCAGCCAATCTGGGCACCCCAATGGCTTTGCCCCTAAATTTGCCGAACATGCTTGTGAGAAAGGTACGCAGTGGCACTTGACACTGACATGCCTCCGAGTTTGGTAATTACACAAGCATAGGCCCCAAACAGGTTCAAAACGATTCGTTTAGACCAATATTAGTCAATAATCGATTTCACCCCAAAAGCAAATTGCTTCCTCAATGAATTTTTGTCGGCATTGACATCGCTATGGCCAAGACAAGGACAAGAGGAGGCGAAGACACGGACACAGCGGCCAAGACGAGGACACGAGGAGGACAAAGCCCAGCACAGAGGACAAGAGGAGGACAAGAGCCCAGTAAGCTGTCCATAGCACATGAGCGCGCGCTCGCGGAGGACAAGAGGTGGACACAGAGCCCAGCCACAGAGTTCAGGGGCGCGGCCAGTGAGTGTGGCCAGCTCTTTTCTTTCTAAGATAGAACCCCAACAGTAAACCCTTTGGGGAAAAAGAGTTTTCTGCTTTCAAGGGTGGGGCAGGGCGGCCGAATCTGAAACATCCATTTTGCCTCACTTGCTGTTGGGGCTTAACTTGGGCTTATTTGAATTGACAGGATTGTCCGACCCATGTCGATGGGTGGGAGATGGAGTCCTGTTCAGCAAATTTCCCATTTTCAAAGCCAGTGGATCCAATTACCAAAGACTGGTTCCAAAAGATTCAAATAGTATAGACCGTATAGACCTATACAGCCTATACACACCCTGGTTCCTTATACAGTGGTAATTGGGATCCACGGGGAAATCTTCTCTCAAGAGTCGCTGTTCAAAACATCTCAGCTGCCAACGCAGCCGGTTGGTGACTTTTTATAAGAAGTCCTTGGACACTCCGAGGCAGGGGGGTCGGACCTGACATTTTGTGCCCATGTTTGCTACTGCTGAGCCTTCCTCTTGTTTTCCTTCGACCAAGGGACATAGGGTTGATTGATGGCCCAAAGCACGTGCTTCGCACGTTGGTTCCAAGATGCTTTCCTACATCATATCAATTTGTTCCTCCAAGTTGATTCGCAGCTTCCGCCATTCGCATGAGACCGTTCTGATTCGGCCCTTTGAAACTACGGCTGTTCGAAACGCCACATACGCACAAGACGTGCACACCTCGCGGGTGGCTGAGGCGAGTATCAAGGCGAACGCCTTCAATGGGGTTTCCGCTCCACCGGGATGGATGTGATCTTGCCGAATCCCGAGGGAATCAAGAGGCACGGCTCCGAGGGATGAATGGGGCTGGGGGAGGGACGGCTGGGGTGTGCTTTGTCTTTAGGCGGTGTTTTTTTTTTTCGTTTTCTTCGCGCGGAAAACAGCGGAAGTGCCGGAAAAGAAGGACGCGCCAGGTCACTATTGGTTCTTAGTGTTCAGGGGGAGAACACCCTCGTGTTGATGGTCACGGCAAGCAACTATGACCCCTCCAGGAACTGTGAAGAGGACTTGTTGTCCTGATGATTCTGTCTCCGACAAGGTGAACATGATTGAACATGGTTACCGATATGTTTGGAATGCATGAATTATGGATGATTTTTGTTTTATCCAGATCATGTTGGACATCAAACAGTATACATCTAGGACACATGTGCTTTTCCTTGCCGTTCTTGCTAGGACACCAAGATTTTGCAAGTTTCCAAATTCTGTCTACATCCTCAATCGTAGTATTTGAGGATGGAGAAACAACTTTTGTGAAATAATCCAATCAGGTCAGACATGTACTTCCTCACTTCGTGACCCAACTACTTCAGTTTGTCCCATCCAGTGACCTTGACAGGTTTGTTGTTTTTTCACGTCAATTTGTGACCGAACTACGGGGATGAAGTTTGGTCATGTTCTCGAAGAACCGGGTGCAATTTTCACAAATCGCTGTCCCCGTCGCTTGGTCTTTGTGGTTACAGGGACTTGGCAGAAGAGAAGGGTCTTTCCAGGCCATGGAAGCCCATTTCTATGATTGTTGAAGAGATCCGGTCCAAAAAGGACCCTTTTTGGGGACGCAACACCACAAGGATTCTCACATTCCCTGACCTCTTTGTGCAGTGAACACACATGTATTTTGCTTCTGCTGATACAAACAAGGATTTGCGGGCTTTGCAGATCACCAACCATGAACCATGGATCAACGCAAACAGAACAGCATGACTCGCTGACTCGCATGACTCGCTACCCTGTTCAAGTCCCCGAGGGCGCCCCGCTATGATAAAAACATGATCAAAAGCCAGTCCACAGTCCACCTGTTAAAGAGTGTCCGAGTTGGCTCAGCTCAAGCTTGACCGAGTTCGAACCTGTCCATACCAAACGACCCGACGACGTCGGACGATAGGAGGCCAGGCGGTGGCGTCTGGGAGACGTCGGTCCGAGACCTCGGAGGTACTACATCGTGGACACGTCCAACTCCATGGCGGTCTTGCCTCCCAAGCCATCAGTGCTGGGCCGCAACCAACCCTTCGATTGGACCCAGTTCTACAAGATGCTGCCCCACGCCAACATCCGGCTCAGTAAGGCCGGGGGCACGAGTTGTTCTTTGTATCTTCTACAACATCCGTGCGCGAGCGCAAGTTCCTGCAGCGAAGAATCCTGCCAAGTTCCTGCGCAAAGAGGTGATGATGGAAGAGGATTCCTTCCCTGTGACATATGTAAGGAACTCTCGCCAAAGAAACCAACTGATCGCCAGAATCAGTTGTAGCCCCAAGTCCTTTGCCTTTTCATCCTTTCCAGCAGACTGGATCAGATACTCAGGTCGGCCCGAACAGGGAAGCTGGACATCTGAAGAAAATCAGCTTATTCATCTCCAGAGTCTCTAAATACGTCGCGATCCGTTTTTTTCAAGCTTTCAGATCTGCAAGTAACATCAGTAACCCAACCCAGTTATATGTTTACATTAGACACAATAAATATATGGTTTAGTGTGCAAAGGTTCCCCCAAATTGGTTCAGATATAGCTTTTCTTTGTTTCCAAACGATGACAAGGGATCAACAGTTCTATGCTGAGGTCCACTCAGGTTAACATACTTCAAACTAGTTCTGATTCCAAAGGAGCACATACTAGACAAGTGACAGGAGTTCTTGCGCTCGCACTAAGAGAGAAAGTAGGTATATATAGGTAGGTAGGTAGGCAGGTAGGTGGAACGTGCCTTTTTTGCTGTATGTGCAGGTGAATGGTTGGAGTTATGTGAACCATCCAGTGAGTGGCACTGATCTGGGCTTGACGCCCAGCTTTAGCTTCTGTGCCGAGATTTGCTCCACCTTCTGGCGCAAAGGTTCCCGAAGGCCGCTTAAAGGGTTTTCGACTAGCAATTTTTTCGAGAGGAGCGTTTTCGTTGGAAGGGTGGGGAAAGGCTATGAGACCGTGTTAGAGGTTGGGGGACAGAGGTTCATCAACTAATTTCGCATCTAAGTTTATCCTTTATAGTTTATTTGCCAATATATTTGTCAACTTTTGTCCTTCTTTGAGTGGATCATCCATGTTCTTTTTTTGTAGGTCCAGACGTCGTTAGGGGCCCGATGCCGCATGCGCCTCGATCTGCGACCGTACGCTGGGCCACCGTGCGGATCGACCCTACGAGGTGCATCGGATTTGATTGGCGCATGTCCAACCACGATTGCGAGAGCCTCACGCGGAGTGGGCAGCTCCCGAACTTCACCAAGACCTGTGCATACTCCAACAGTGGTGCCTTGGCCATGTAGCAAGGGCAACAACTCCAAGCTCTCTTGTGTGACACCACCCGTCGCCTGGGTGGCATTCGTCGTCAGTCACGTAGCACCAAAGTGTCGACGTGGTCAAGTCTTTGTTTTAGGCTTCTGGCGTAGCACCCTTGGCATTGTTTTTTGCTCGCTGAACAGAGACACACACTTTGACAATGGGTTTGCAGTTAACTCAATTCCCACGAAAAATGGATGCAAACGGCAAGGCGGCTGGGTCAGTGGAAGTGAAGGTGTTTAACAAAAAGGTTTGCATGACTGCGGACTCTAGTTACTAAATACGTAGCGAGGGAAACCTGGTTTGGGATCTATCATGAGAACGACCATGGAAGCAAACCAAGAAAGTAGACAGCGTGAACAACAGTTGTTTTGCAGGTGCACAGAGCTGGTCAGGCTCTGCATCCCCCTCTTGTCCACAGCTTCATGGCGTGTGGTAGGACAAGAGGGCCACACGCCCCTGCAAACGAATCGGGTTTAAACTCCTGGAAACGGAGGGTGACACACACACACACACACCCGGCCGCTTCGCGGCGCTCCGGCACAGAACCTGAATAGACACCTAAAAAGCCTTAGAAACGAGAGAAAGAAAAACAGAAAGAGCAGCGCAAAAAGGGCAGGAGAGAAAGATAGGGGCAGCAAAAGGTGACTACTTAGCCCTTGACTGGGGTAGGGAAACGAGCCTCAAGAACCAGCTAAAAAGCCTGAAAGAAAGCCCAAGAAACGGCAAAAAACGTAAGAAAGAAAGTATGTATGTACATGTGTGTGTCCGTGTGTGTGTGTGTGTGTATGCTTGAATACTTAGCACTATAGTTGCGGAAATGAATTACGTGCAGTAGCTAGGGAGCGGGACTTTAATCTTAAACCGCCTGGGTAGAGTAGACTAGAACAGGGACAACAGAAGGAAAGGCACCGACACACAAGTGTGTCGAGTACCATTTCCTTCTGTTACCTAATTTGGGGGGGGGGGGGTTAGAGAAAAGGGAACCCGGCGGGTGTCTATTCTCCGTATGCCCGGCGGCGTCAAGTCTCCGTAAACTCGGCAGTTTTGTGGCAGTAGATTCATGGGGTGAAACACTTATTCAAGAAGAGAATCCAACGCGTGCAGAAAAACGCGAAGTCAAACGTGATCCACGGTAGTTTCAGCGCTCCCTTGCGGGAGATCACACCCTGCACCCAAGTGGGACGGCAGAGCGGCACACACTTTGACAATGGGTTTGCAGTTCACTCAATCCCCACGAAAAATGGACGCAAACGGCAAGGCGGCTGGGTCAGTGGAAGTGAAGGTGTTTAACAAAAAGGTTTGCATGACTGCGGACTCTAGTTACTAAATACGTAGCGAGGGAACCTGGTTTGGTATCTATCATGAGAACGACCATGGAAGCAAACCAAGAAAGTAGACAGCGTGAACAACAGTTGTTTTGCAGATACACAGAGCTGATCAGGCTCTGCATCCCCCTCTTGTCCACAGCTTCATGGCGTGTGGTAGGACCAGAGGGCCACACGCCCCTGCAAACGAATCGGGTTTAAACTCCTGCAAACGGAGGGTGACACACACACACACACACACCGTGACGCATGAGCGCGATAGACGGTGGCCCATCAAAGGAGCCACCTTGCCCAGCAAGACCTCATAAAGTAGTACATGGGAGTCAAGCAAGAATCTACCCAAAGAACTAGATCAGCTTGCCCTTGATGGTGTTCCTTCGTGTCGTTTCAGCGGTCGAGGTCTGAGTTGTTTATTCGCCCTGGTGACCTTGGATGACACCACCGCGGACGATTTCACCGCGTGGCCCAACAACTGCTTCACCATGCCACAGGCGATGGTTCACCCCGAGAAGATCGGCGGTTTCACTTCGGACGGGGTCGCGTTCTTTCTTCCGAAACCCTTTTTTCGGTGTTGTATTTTTTTGGAGACATCAGCGGGACCATCTCTAAGTGAAACATCATCGGTGGAAGAGGTCAGAAAGGCAGTTGAAAACAGATGTCAAGCAGGTCACCAGGTCAGGAAAAACCAGGATGCACGCTGCATCCGTTGTTTTGATCTCAGAACGATCCTATAGGACGTCTGCTGTTTCCTTTGCGCGCGCGCGAGCCCGTCGCGGATCGGGCCAGGCGGATCGTGACGGAAATCCATGGATCGTTGGCAAAGCTGGCTATGCGCCAGCTGGTGGCTGGCCCAGCTATGTGAATCTCGGTTGATGTCGCCGAAAAAAATCCATGAATCAACATTATAATTGTAGCCCTATAGGGTTCCAGTCGTACATCACCAAAAGGTATTGTTTTTGGACCCTCCAAACCCACCCCCAAACACCTTTTCACAGGGTACTTGAAGCCAAGCAGAGTAAATCTATACCTAAAATGAACAAGACTGGGCCACCGCAACGAAAGCAGAATTGCTTACGAGTCAGGTTTTGGCCAAATCAAATGCTCCGTCACTTCTCGATGGGCTGGTCCTTGCACAGTATACTGACAGGAGTCTCCAACGACGCACTGCCTCCCTCTATATAACCCCGCTAAGTCAACTCAATTCGCTAGACGAGGGCTTGGTGACTCTTTTGGCTTCCCACAGAAACTCTGGACGTCCGCGTCCTTATGCATATCAATGCATCATCACACTGCACTGCAGGGGAGAGTCCACATCCAGCGGATTAAATGGAGGAGAGAGGGCCCTGCTCTTTCTGCTGAAGGCGAGTCACTCACCTCGACGACTCGCAGACTTCGACGACTGGATCGCATGATGCAAAAAACCGTCGAGGGCTGGTGGGCCGGTGGCAGGTAATAGATTTTAGCAAACAAACTCTATTCTGGACCAATGGTTCTGAAGTTGTGTGCAAATATTTTCCTGACTGACTTGCCGCAATGGTACTGACTGACCCCTTTTTGTCACCCACAGGCTTGCATTTGCCGCCAGATGAACCAACCTTTGAATCTGCCAGGATGAGCTGTTGGCAGATACAACTCAAGGGCAAAGCCTTCGCAATGCGTGGAGATTGGCGCTTCCCAATGCGCGCACCTCGACCAGATCTCAGACACTTCATGTACCGCACAACCCAGGTTTTTGTCCGCAAAACACGAACAGAATCGACTACTGGGAGGCCAACCTGCCAGGGATTTTATGACCCGCAGCCGCCATCCATGGACTTCGAATCCAATGGATCGGTTCTCAGAGGCCTTTTTTCATGGAGATCCATTAGGTGAAAGATTGCCATCTTCCACGCCCGCGGAACCCGATGTTTTTTCGATCTTCCAGGTTGATCGGTCGATCGGTCGATCTGCGAGCGAGGCGGCGACCTGTTGGGCAACCAACAGGTCAAACATGGTCAGTTCCCAAATCCATGTGGAGGATCCCAATGAGTTATTGGTGCCGTTCCATGTGTCCATTAGGATTGGAAACAGGCCAATTGCGATTGGAAACCAGCATGGGTGGATTGCGAAAGGCCGCAGAATGTGTGGTTGCGCCATTCCAGTTCCAGGTGAATCAGCTATACCAGCACCCTCCAACAGGTCACCACATGCGACTTTTACGTCTACAAAAGCCTCCATTTCGGAGACCTGTTGGAAGGTGCATGAAGGTGCTGGTACTAGGTTGCGGTTTGGCTAACTTGTGCACGAAGTCACGCCGCAAAGTGGTTCATGTCCCAAACACCAGTTCCGGAGTTCCAAGGTTTTGCTTGGGTCGGGGGGAAGGTTTTGCATTTCTACATAAAACCAACCAAAATGATCCCTTTTCGGCACACATGTTGCACAGTTGGACGATCTAGTATACGTATATAGGTAATATATGCATTTTCATGATGGAACAACCAGCAAGTTCAAAACCGGGCTCAAACCATTGGAACAGCAGGGTTCGGCTCTCTCATGCAGGGTTAGGCTCTGTAAATCTTGCCTCCAATACGGAATTCGATTGCGAACGTGTGTTGGCTCCTTCAGGTTGGTTTGGAAGTACTGATCACGTGAATTACACCGTGGGAGATTTGGCCAAGAACGGGAAGGCGATCTATCCAGGCGATCTGCAAGGTGTTCCTTGGCCAGTGCCTCCTTGGAGGTGGCCAGGTGGAGCGAACCCCCCCGTGCACCAGCGGTTCGTGCCGTGCGGGGCGGTGCTGCTTCGCCCAGGTTGTTGGTGAATTCGTTCTTTGACGGATTTGGGTCGTTCATATCTGACTCTCATGTGACCTTCTCACAGTCCACCAGACAATCCCATCCACATCCGGATTGCATGTGATGGAGAAATCCTTCGTAACGAGTGGCCGAATGTCTCAGCAATCCGGCCAAGAAAGCACGTTCAATTGGTAATCTGGTAGTTATGGAAAATGTATACGCATTTCATTTATAAAACTAAGCCAAAAGGCAGATTTTTTGCATAGTTGGAAGATCTAGGTATGGCATGGTATAGCAGTCGTCGACCCTTTCTGCAGACTCTTGCAAGCACGCGAAACGCTCTAATTCCATATGGATTATTTTTCCATCAAAGTCAGTCACAGGGGATTCACAGGGGCTTCTTCAAACGGACTGCAAAGAGCATCCGCAATGATGTGTGGGCCCTCGTCACGGGTGATGAGTGCATTTTTTGCCTGCGCTGAGTACGTGTTCAACTCCTATGTGGACAACACGAATCCGAATGCCATGCCTACAACGACCGCCAGCTGCTTTTCAAACGACCAAATTGTCATCAGCACCACACAAGCAGGCGCATGGGACTGCCGAACGGCACGATGCCGACAAACTGCGTTGATTCAGCCAGGGCAACAAAGTTGTGTTTTTGGAGGCACCCATGCTTTTTTGTTGCCCCTTTTGTTGGCACCTGTGTGTTTGCTATTTGAATGAGGGCAGCCTGATAACAACTTGCACATCGCATCGTAGCCATTCCTGGCATTCCGCAGTGACACCGTGACACGCTGTGGGTACAACCCTCCAAAAGTTTTCAGATTCCAGATGATCTCTACAAAGTCTCCTGCAGATGGCCTGCCAGAACCTAGCGTTTTCTTCAGGCCCTAGTTTCCTTTATAGCTCACCAATTCTACCCTGTGGAAAACTAACATGGACCCTGACTGGTTTGTAGAGGAAACTCGTCTTCCAAAGATCCATTTTCAGGGTCCATGTTAGTTTTCGGGAGTGTAAGGGTCATCTTAGGGTCTGGAAACCATCTTGACCCTTCCATTTCGCTCCAGACACCACCAGTGGCGCCTCTACCACGTCCGGCACCACCGGCGACTCCGGCACCACGAGCTCGGTGAGCGAGACCACGAGCACAGGGAGTGGACTCACCCAGGCGAAAACGCTTCGAGTCGCGGTCTGTACCACGAAAAGCGCGGTGAGAAGACTTCACAAAGCTGCATGGGTTGTCAGGTGAAGGACCTGGGTTTCAGCGGTATATTTGTTAATTACTTTGGGGACCCTGGCTGGATTGACTGGTCTATGTCCATTCTATTATGTGATGCCTGATCCCGGTCGGAACGGTCTGGGAGGTCTCCCGTAACACCCATACACGCTGGGACGGAGCACTTCAATGGTAAGGAATGGTGCTGTTTTGAATCGACCATGGTCGGCTCTCTGAATGACTTGAATGACGTTGTCTGACTGTCTGAGCGCTCGCGCTCTTTTTCGTTCTGCAATCCGAAACTGGGACGTTTTACGGATGGCGAAGCTCTGAGGACGGATGATTGAGGTTCTTTTTTTTTAATGGCAAAATGGAGTTCAAACCAATTACAAGCACATCGAGGAAGTCCTAGGCCTGATTTTACAACCTCTCCGGAACCAACCGTTAAACAAACATAAATCATATAGTCTCACAGTCTGCGTCGGTTTCTGGGTGAGCCTGCAAACAAATCAGGTCGCTCTGTGGATGTTGGATTCTCTTAAGCTCTTACCCGCCGAAATTAGACAGCCAAAGAACAGCAAAGAGTGAGGCCCAAGCAGGATCCTGTGATCATCCGCGTTTGGGGCGCTCTTTCGTTTGGCTTCCCTCCTGCAGCTGGGGGCGCTCTTGAACCCCATCGCTAGACGTTCGTGACCACGTGCGCAGGATGGCACAGATGCCACAGTGATGATCAGTGCCAATTTGTTGGCCCTTTGTCTCTTGCTGGGCTTGTGACAAGAAACGAGACCCAGCAGGATGGACTTGGCGATGCGGACCCCGACGGCCTGACGGCTTTGGCCCAGTTAAAGCCGGTTGATGCCCGGACGAGCTGATGATTGTTCAGCCCAGATGAGATGATTCCGGTGGAAGCTGCGGGAGAAGCTGGTGCCATTTGTAAAGGGAGAGACAAAGATCATATGCTTCGAACCTGCATGAAACAAAACACACTTTTCTCCTGCATGGACAGCTATATTCTTCCCCCGAAAATATGGAGTCAGCTATATAGTTGCAGTTGCTGGTTGGTTATCTGTTCACCCATTTTGCCAATGTATGTCATGAACATATATGAAAGTCATTTCTGACACACCTTCCATGAAGTAGAAGCACCAAGTCCAGTGTCACTTCAAGCCTGTCGCTTTCTGTCTTGTGCCTGTCACTTTCACGGGCTCATGACTCTTGAGTTGTGGACTGAACTTGCAGGTGCAGTGCCGGTGGTTTAATCATCGGTAGACATATATCACCACCTGCTTTGTCTAGGAATGCGTGGTGTAGATATGTCAGGCCGAAGGCTGACAGAGACGGCAAGAACCAGCACTCAGCACCCTGAGTTCACTGCCAAAGCTCTTTGTGCTTCACAGTTCCATCACACCACAAGACTATTCTCTTTCCTGTCACGAGGTGCTGGGGCAAAAGCAATTGCACGACATTTCAGAGGTGAACCTTTGACTGCGTTGCCGCGTCCAAAAGTCACCAACATCCCACTCCGAGCTGACTCTGCACGAAGATCAGTATCTCACCCTGGAGTTTTTATCCGAACAAGGATTCTTTGCTACCCAGACTCGACCCTGGGCCCGAATCCTCTGGAGGGGTCGGGCCCGAATCCTCGGGTCAGGGGTCGACCGGGTCGAACCAATCCATAGGCTTTGAATGGCTTTGAGTCGGGCTGTGAACGGAGCGTCTGGGTAAGGAGTTTGTACAAGGACCTTTGGTCCCCTTTCGACCGCCCGGCTCGGGAGGTCCCGCGCGGTTCGTCGGCCGCGGGGGGGTTTCCGCGGCTTCAACGAGGTCTATGTGGCGACGAACGTGCGTATCACTGGGGCGATGCCGCAGGTGCTTTGCGGGTCGTGGGGAGTGCTCCGGCTATTGGGAGGTGTCCTGGGCAGAAAGTGTTTTTTTCATGCTGGAAAGCAGTGAGCCAAGCAACACTCAATGATTTTGTGACCAAACAGGGAAGACAAAGGCCTTTAAATCTTAGTAATTAAGCTAGTGCCCAGCAGCTCCGCTCCTCTTGCTGTCTTGAGACATTCTTGGTGATTTGAACTTCCACAGCATGTGCCTTTGGCTTGGTCATAGGTTGAGAGTCTAGTGATCTCAGATCGTTGGCCAAAACCCACGGCCCGGTCATGGCAAAATGTTTTCTGCAGTTCGACCGACCGACCTGGACACTGGCAGACAGTGGCAGACACTGCATCGATTCCAGTTGACTACACAGGTGTTCCACTCCACTTAACCATGTGATGTGATCGTCGCGTGTCAGTTCTGGTCGAGAGCCGTCGCCCAAGAGTCCAGAGCCGCTCCTTGTTCTCCTGCGGCTGCTCGTTTGGACTGGGTGAGATCCTGTAGGCCAGGAAGTGTTCCCAGCGAGAAACTTCTTTCAAAAGAACGTGGTCCACTTCAGCAGAAGACAGTATATATTAATTATATATATACCCTCATCTTCAACTACTAAATTAAGTAAACTGCGGTGTGAATGCATACTAAGTTTAGCCAGGGTAAGTAGCGTACTTATTATTTCGCTACTAAGTTTACTCGAGGTGATCGAGATGATTGCATTACGTAGTTACTGTCCTTTGACAGAGTAAACTTTGTATCTTTAGGGTTCAACTGTTCTGTATTGGATTGATTGAGGGTTGATGCGTTTCTAGCGCACTTCTGCCGCATCAGTCTCAGTGGGTATATTCATAGGTCCTAGGTCCTTTCTTTCGGATGGTTTCTGAGGGTGCTGAGTCCTCCCCCCAGTCTGAGTCCAACCCAAATCTTCCATTCTTAGGGGTTTTCATCACGGCCTGACGCGTGCCAGGTGCAATCAACGGGGGGCATTTCCTTTGATCCATGTGGCAGGCCTGCCGACTCCGCCCCCCGTGCACACGAAAGGCAGAATCATAGAGCGATCAGACCTGTCCATGAAAACCATCACAGCTGGCGGCCGACTACCTCGAATCTTCTACTTTGTACTTTATAGCTGGATCTTCGAACAAACCAAAATTTCTGCCATTTTCTGCCCATCTATTAAAACCATGCCATTTTTCGGTGTTTTTTTCAGCAGAACTCTTGCACAGTTGGAAGATCTATAGATCAATAGGTATACAGCTGCACAAGGCATGAATCAACACCCGAAGGAGCAACACCTCATCGAACCCCACACCCGCTGCGCTGTGGCGATCGTCATACACGGGTCGTGCTCAGAGAAATCTATGTCGTAGACTTCCTCGGACCTTAGAAATGCTCATGTTTCCAGATTGGCAGCGAGTGGGGGGAGCGTGGGGTTCCCATCTCAAGAAGTGCGTCCCTTTTTTTCCGTAGCTTGAGCTGAGTCTTTCTGAGCTCCGGCATGCTGGGGGGGCGTCGCTGACAAAACCACTTGGGCTCCCAACAGCGGAAGTTGAGACAACAGGTTATGCTTGGTTGTGGAGCCTAGCCTCAGTGCTTGTTCATCTACTTCCAGTGTGAATCAGATGTGTGTCTCTGAGAGGCCTCATTTGAAGCGGCACCTGAATTGGTTGGACATTTGTTTGACATGTGTTCTTTTAGATCCTCATCCTCATCTATTTTTTTCTCATACAGTCTTGGAACACCAAGAACGCCTTTTGAGACCTTAAGTTCGACACCAGGAACTTTGAACAAGCCGTGCAGTGACTGTTTCCTCACAGCCCCAAGAGACGGTTTTCAGCCCCGACGTTCTGAAACCTTAGAGCTTCATTCGCACAGGCTCGGGCTTGAGTGGGAAGACCATCTATGCCTTGGTCTCAAAACCTTGGCTGGAGTCGACTGATCTGTTGGCACAAGAATGCAGGCCCGGTTCGCGGATCAAAGCGGTATGGCCATGTCCTTTTTTGCGAACAAAGTTGGGAAGTGACAATCCAACGTTTTGGGGGCCAAAGGACTTCTCCAGGGGCAAAGAATGAAGTAGAACAGCTTTTTTGATTTGTGTTGGAACCGATATTCCAAAGGACGTCCCACTTCTCCGCTGCTCAATTCCAGAGGAGGAAACTCCTGCTCTTGTTCTCGGTTTTCGACGGCGAAGTACAGACAACTGAGTTGCTGCTGATTTTCTGCAAGGCTTTGCCAACCTCAGTCCAATTCCTCGCTGTCAGTGGCCAAGAAAACACAGGTTGCTGTCAGGACGACAAGGGTGCAGCTGCAGGGCATGGTTGCAGACGCGACATGCGTTGGTATGAAAGCAAACAAACCAGATCCAACACAGCATGACCTTCAAAGTAGAGTGGACATGGGCCATGTCCCACATCCTCATCCTCCGAACTGGTCAGTCTGTGACCCTGTGATACCATGTGCAGAAGAAACCAGTCCGGAAGTCGGCCGCCATGTTGCACTGGAGCACACTGGTCGGCTAGCATGTCTAGAGGTTACGAATAGCGGCGAAATGCGGCTCATCTTGTTATTTGCAAGGCCATTTGAGCATGTCAGCATGAGGCCTAGGCAACCGACTTCATCCGTTGAGGTTATGCCCCTACACGGCCACCGGCTTGCCGGGCGAAGCGCTGGTGAACGTCTGGAACTGACATCGGTGCTGTTCTTCGGATCGGACGTTCGGAGGATTTCCCCGAAAAGACACATCTACCCAGACTCGACCCTGGGCCCGAATCCTCTGGAGGGGTCGGGCCCGAATCATCCCGACAGGGGTCGACCGGGTCGAACCAATCCATAGGCTTTGAAGAAAACCGGTCGGATCCGGTCGGGCTGTGAACGGAGGGTCTGGGTAAAGGTGCATGGAAGAACAAACCCATTGGATCATTGGCCTCCATTTGGGAAGACGTGTTTTGGTCCTTTTTTCGCTACAAGAAGGGTGGATTCAACTTCGATGTGTTCGAAAGGAGTGTAGATGTTTTGCTGACCCCTTGAAGAGATCATGGAGACCATCGACGTCCATGGACGATCGATTTGTGTAGAGACCAACCTCCCACTTAATTATAACAGGTTCCCTCTCCCAGCACCACCCTTGTCAGCGTGGTATATATTCCATCCCAAAGCCACCCTTGTCCTGGGTGCTGCTGATCCATATGATACCGAGCCTCTTTTTTCCGCTTGTCGAGGCCGCTTGTCGCTTGTCTGAAGGGAATGATTCGAGCAGCCGATCATCGTTTTGCCACCGCCTCACATGGGTCATATTTTCCTCAGACACGACCGGTCTGGGAACATGAGACTGCCTGCATGACATGGTTCCACTGACCTAAAGTTTTAGATCGAACATGTAGTCAAGGTCCATCAAGGTCCATCAAGGTCCTCATCTGAATTGTTCAGATATGCCCAGATACGCCAAGACAAATGCCCACATGCTTTCAATCACCCCCATGCTCCCATCGGCCTAGGCCTCCTTCTTCCTGGCTGCTTGGCAGGGTCATTCCGCCGGTCACGTGAAGACCAGCTCTTCGGCCGTTCGGTCTGCTGCAGCTGTAGTTCAGCTGCCGGACGTCGGAGGTCTCCCAGAAGCCCAAAAGAACGCCGGTCACATTGACCATGTCGCGGTTGGTGTGAAGAGAAACAAAGGATTGGTTTGGAAACCGTTGTTCTTTTGGGGTACATGATGGTACATGTGTGTATGTGTGTGTGGTCTTTTTGGGGTGTGAGTGTGACTTCCCCCTGCGCTTTGGTAACGGTTCATACGAAGAACTCAGACCCGCACTCATAAGGATGGCAGTAGGATGCAGTAGGTCAAAAACCCTCCGACTCACCCCGTCGTAGGTCGACCGCCGACCTCAAGTTCCGTCCATTCCGTCAACCTCAGGGTTCGCCGGTTCCGCGGTGCCGCGGTCAGACCGGGTGAGACCGATCCTGGATCAGACGAGGTGGATCCATCACGCGTGGAGGAGGTCTTGGCATTGCGAGAGACGCCCTGCGAGGAGCGGAGAGTGGAGGTGGAGTGCGGCGCGCGGATCGGATTGCGCTTGGCGCCCCGCCCGGGTGTTTCTGCTGGTGTTGTGTGACGTTATGTAAATTTTTTGTTCCAAGATGGGTTGTTGTGCAGATGGACGTCCGGGTGGATCAGAAATAAGGTTTGTAAGATGGACGAGGAAGAGGATGGAAGAGGCTTCTTCTTCTCAGCTTTGGTTTGACAATATTTTCACATTATTTGTGATCAAGAAACCCAAAAGCTTGGTGTAGAAGCCTGATTCGACTGCGTTACTCGGACCCGTTCCGCTTCCGAATGGCCTTTTTTGCGTTCCGAAAGAGGACGGAGTGCTTTTGAGCGCTTTGAATCTCACCGTCTTCCGCTCTGCAGCTCGTGAACCCAGGGGCCCTGCCATCAGCCTCCAACCTATAAGAGCGATGGCCTCCAACGAATGCAAAAATGGATCGAGTCAGAGGAGCCTCCACAGAAA